GCAGGAAGACATGATAGAACTACTGGAAGTTGTTAAACGGGCCGTTTTCGGCCTCCGGAGGATCTCCGGGGGGTGGGGAAGGCCGTTTTCGTCCTCCCCAGACTCCTAGAGAGACCCTGGAGCCAGGTGAGAAAAAAAAACAGGCCTACCGGGCCATCACGTGCCAGGAGCAGGGGATGGGTGGGTCGCACGCGCATGCTTGGGGGCAGGGCATACAGAATTATGGGTGTGGGTGTGCGTGACCCCCCCCTTCCTGGCACGTGATGGCAAAAAGGTTAGTCATCACTGTGATAGACTGTCATGTACTAAAATGGGTCAATCAAAGTTGTTTCTGAAAACTGGACTGCTATAAAATAGACTGCCTTGTAATGTACAAAATCGTACTCAATCTCTCAATGAGGTCTTAATGAGGACTGATAGATATCACACATTTGCTGGGATTGTGCAGAGACTGAACTTTAAGCGCTGGAACAGCTTCCTTTACAGTTCATTCTCTTTAGATTAGTAGGGGTAATGGAATTCTTGTCCCTCTGCTTCATCTTTATCACATTTCTGCCTTGCCTTGTGACACCTGCTTACCACCTTATGTTTGTCTCCTGCAGTTCTTAATCGCCCATTTTGCCCTCTGAATCCAATTTACAAATCTCTATGTTTTGACTTGATAAATTAGATTAATGACCTTGCCTTGTGTGAATTTTTGAGATGGTTTCATTAATTAATGAAAGCCAGTGGATCAGGATATTAATGAAGCCAACCACCTTTTGAGGATCTTTTAGCATATCTGAACTTAGCAATAGCGCTTTCTAATATTTTTTATATGGCCTTCCTTTGCTGTAATTATGTAAAATGGAAGCATAATCCTAGCTTTCTACTTCCATCTTTAGAATCAGGATGTTTAAATCCTGGCAGATAATATGCGACTTTTAGAATGGCAGTCTGAGCTGTTGTTTGTGATTAGGGCTACCTGATCTGTGGTATAAAAATTTGTATGACAAGTAGATTTTTTATAGCAAAGAAACATGTGTGTCATTAACTCTTTGCTGCCACTTCATGGTTGTCCAAAATTTGGAAATCTTACTTAGTTCAATCAGGTAAGTGTACTAACCATTCATATTTATGATGCAAAATGATGATCTCCCAAGAGAGATAGATGGTTCAAAAATGGGATAGATAATTTTTTGTGTGTGATAGGTAGACAGACAGACTGTCTGACAGATATAAAAAGGAACTGATAATTTTCAATTCAATGGTGAAAAAAATAAGGTTCTACATTTAGGCAAGAAAAACCAAATGCACAGGTACAGTATGGGTGGTACCTCGCTCAATAGTAGTAACTGTGAGAGAGATCTTGGAGTCCTAGTGGACAAGCACTTAAATATGAGCCAACACTGTGCTACAGCTGCCAAAAAAGCCAACACAGTTCTAGGCTGCATTAACAGAGGGATAGATTCAAGATCACGTGAAGTGTTAATACCACTTCATAATGCCTTGGTAAGACCACACTTGGACTACTGCATCCAGTTTTGGTCACCATGAAGTAAAAAGGATGTTGAGACTCTAGAAAGAGTGCAGAGAAGAGCAAAGATGATTAGGGGACTGGAGGCTAAAATATATAAAAAAAGGTTGCTGGAATTGGGTATGTCTAGTTTAATGAAAAGAAGGAGTAGGGGTGACATGATAGCAGTGTTCCAATATCTCAGGGGTTGCCACAAAGAAGAGGGAGTCAAGCTACTCTCCAAAGCACCTGAGGGCAGGACAAGAAGCAATGGATGGAAACTCTTCAAGGAGAGAAGCAACCTAGAACTGAGAAGAAATTTCCTGATAGTTAGAACAATTAACCAGTGAAACAACTTGCCTCCAGAAGTTGTGGATTTTCCAACACTGGAAGTTTTTAAGAAGAGATTGGTCAACCATTTGTCTGAAATGGTATAGGTTTTTCTGCCTGAGTAGGGGGTTGGAATAGAATATCTCCAAGGTCCCTTCCAACTCTGTTATTCTATTCTATATAACTGTAGGGAGTTTTTGTATGTTCATCTATCCACCTTGTTCTGTTTGAAGAACACCTTGTAAATGTTCCTCAGGTACTCAGGATGTTGTCAATCTTCAGGGTAAGGTGGGGGGAGGGGATGGTTTGCACACACAATCACACTCACATACCACTTCCACAGCCTGGTTCCGAACAGGCTTCAGCTCAGCACTGAGCTATGGATCGAGGGTTGGGGACCACTGCTGTAACAGAATCATGAAAATCAGAGATTTCTCTGTGTCCCATTTTATACTAAACATATCAAGGTGCAATTATCTTGGGTTCCTTTCTCATGCTTGCTTCAATCTCAAGACTGTGCAATCTTGTCTGATCTTCTTTTCAGGACCTGTTTTGGAAAGACATTTAATTGCTCCTTTGCAAAAGCCATCTGGAAACTACTATGATTTAAATAGGTTAAATGTGAGGTTATATGCTAGTTATTTTAATAAAAGATGTCTAAATATTAGAATAGGAGAACAGGGGCGCTAGTTTTACTAATTAAATTCTGTGAATTTACATCCGAGAGTCTTTACTTAATTAAGAAAAAAGCTGAAATATGTCCCATTAAAAATAGGTAGAACTAGGGCAAATGTGATTAATTTTCTGAGATGTAATTATCAACAAGCAACTTATAAATGGGTTGTCTACAAGATAAGAAAAAAATCCCAAAGTGGAATGAAACACATGATGTCAGAAAAGCATAAAAATGATGGATTGATCAGGACAGAGAATGGTGAAACATCAAGCCGAAATATCTAATTCAATTGAAGGGCCCAAAATCAGCCATTTATAGTGCTTAAATTTACTTTCAAGGGATAGGACATTTGATTTGTCCCAATTTATTATGAGAAATTGATTGATTGATTGAGTGAGTGAGTGAGTGAGTGAGTGAGTGCCACCCATCTCTCTCTACCAAGCAACTCTGGGGGGCTTATAATACTAATTTTGCCTGCCCTATTCAACAATGGCTGTTAAAAGGCCAGTCTTGAATAGGAGAGCAAAACTCTGTTGTCAGCATATATTATAAAGCCACAAGCATAGTTTTATATGGTCAAGAGAAGAGAAATGGCCTTCAACATGACTCCAAAGGTATTAAAGCAGATGTTAAATAATGTTGGGGCCAAAATACAGCCCTGAGATTCATTCAAAGGAATAACATTTTAAAAATGCCATCTTTGCCACATCTTATTTGTAGTTGATTATTTTTGTACAAGCTTTTACAAGGAGTGTTTGCTTGTTGGATACCATTGCATTGAGTTTTTGCCAGACTTTGGGTCTAGGCATCAAATTTGGCCTTAGATACATAAATGCAGCAAACTGTTTCCCTCCTTGAGAGACTGGAATGCTTTTCTGCAACATGAGAAAGGACCAAACAATGATTCAGAGTAACAATGATTCACAAAAGCAGCTTAGGCTTCTGTGATTAAGAATCCTTTTGTAGAAATGATGCTAATTTATTATTTAGAAATCTGGCATACAGTTTCCATATATACTGGATAAAAATCTTAAAAATCTGTAGTTTGCAGGGTTTATTGGGTATCCTATTTTGTGGTTTGGGGCATTTATAACTCTGTTCCAATCCAAAGGAATTGTCTTAAATTGCTAACAGCCATAAATAGTGTTACAACTAGAAATACTTACCAAGTCAGATTGTGCCTATACTAAATAAGGAAAACAAATTGTTGTACCAGGAAGTTTCCCTAATAAGAATTGTTGAACAAGGGAACAGATAACAGTTCCAGTTATAGGATCCTTAAAGGAAAATTGATAGTATTAAAATTTACATTGTCTGTGTCAGAAGTCTGTTTAAAAACAAGTTTTTTTTAAAAAAAAAACCTGGGTAGGAACATTATAAACCAATGAGGTGAAAGATCAGGAAGATTATTTACATGATATGAAATATTGACTTCTTTTAATTTTGTCATAAGAAAGAGATGCTTTTAATTAAACCAATTATCTATATACTTCATTTTGCTGTTGGTTATTGGATTATAAATTTTAGATCTCTCAATCAATAAATCTTAATTAGAAATGACTGTTTATTAGAACTGTTTATAACATCTTGAGAATTCCTATCTCAATTATGCTAGGTTTAACATTTAGTAGTTTAGGAAGATTTAAATGAGCCAGCATAAAATCATTTAGACCTGGTGACCATTTCGATTTGACTGTTTTGTGGCCATGAAACTACAGGGTAAAATCATTTAGTTATTCTTAGATCACATTTGGGAATTAAAAGATGTGTTCTTAGAGTTAATTTTAAAAAACTGAACTAAGCTGGTAGCATTTTGGAATGCAGGCAATAATCTATCCAATCTTTTCAGTATCAGAAACGCCCTTTCAGTTCAAGCGCTGAGTTCTATCATTCCATCTTCTCATTATGACATTGGATTTTGCTATTACCTAAGGACAGTTAATGTTGTATACTCACATATTCCTTTGGATGGCATTGTCTTCCATGAAATCATTTGACAATCTCAAGGAAAATGTTTGTGTAATATGGATATTACATGAGTTAGCATTGATTATATAAATTTTCAGAAATATCCAATAATCTAGTGGAATATGGATTATTTTATATAACAGTAGATATGTAAAGTCATACTGTAGTTACACTAAAGTCTTCCTGTTGGCATATTTTATGTCAGTAAAAAGGTAATTTGCTACAATGCATACAAAATGTATAATCTTTCAAGGAAAATGGTTTAGTAAAATGCCATTAACAACTGGAAATTTCAAAAATTGATTTATCTTTATATAAATAATGGCTGCATCCCCAAATGGATTTATAAATTAATTGCTGACTTACTAGAATAAAACACTTCCTCTGTTGATAAGATTGATGTTATCTGTGTAAGTCCTTGCTCTAGCCCTCACTTCTCCTTATTTAGTTTATCACAGCTGGAGTTTTAATTTGCTGATCATATTAACTCTGATTAATAACTAAGCATACTTTCTTTTTTTACATCAACAGTGTGCCGTTAATGAGTGGAAGTGGGATTGGTCAGATATGTTGCCAAGTTACTTGGGACAAAATAGAATCACCTTTGGGACACTGCTAGCACACAGGTATTGAAATTACAGAAGGGGAAAGTTTTCTTGATAAGTTTTGATATAGAGTTATATAATAGAGTTTGATCGGCTTTGTGTTGTTTGATAAAGTGTAAAATGATAAAATGTGAAACAATGTAAAAATTCATTTAACTAATGTACTAAAAGTTTAAATATAAACATCTGTTTCTATACTGATGCTAATTGCATCTTTTTTGCTATCTTCCTTTTTGAAAAGATACTTCTGGAAACTAGGTGCTACCTTATGTGGGATGTATTGTGGAAATGCTTTAAAATCCATAGAAACTGATATTCTTTCCTTGCATGTGAAATTATGTTTTAAATGCAGTAAACAAACAAACAAATAAATAAATGGCAGAATAGAAGAAGGATTCATTGTGATACTACAAAGAAGCCACATGGAATGAGTTTGTGTTAATTGAGTTATAAATGGTGAGAAAATGGTGAAAAGTAGGATATATATGTATTATTTTCTTAGGTATGACTTTTTCATGATTTTATTGGCATTAATGTTCACTTAGATGAAAAGATGGCAGATTAAGAATGTTTCTAGAGAATTTCTATCATAACAAATGACCAAATAACTGATTTACTGTACGGCATGTTGAATAATGGTAATGAATACTAAAAAGAGTGACAAGTTATGTATTAGTGAAGAGATTTTTTTTCTCTCCTATGCAGTACTAAAACAGAGAAGTATGGGCCTCACAAAGTCTCTTGTATAAGAAGAGCTACAGCAGATTTCTGTAACAACCAGCTCATAATAAATTATTATTTATCTGCTATTTGCAGATAAAAGAAAACTCTGATATGTTGCCCAAAGATAGCCTGAAAGAACATTAGAGACAACAATAACAAATGAAAAATTTTAAATTACTATGCAAAATGGAAGAGTTGAAAATGATTTTATTTGAGAATTACGGAAGTATCAATTTGATTTGATATACAGGTACTCCTTGACGTACAACCACAATAGAGTCCAACATTTCTGTTGCTAAGTGAGACAGCTGTTAAGCGAGCTTTGCCCCATTTTACAACCTTCCTTGCCACATTTGTTAAGTGAATCACTGCAGTTGTTAAGTTAAGAACATGGCTGTTAAGTGAATCTAGCTTCCCCATTGACTTTGCTTGTCAGAAGTTTGGCATAGGGGATCACATGACCTTGGGACACTGCAACCATCATAAATACATGCTATTTGACAAGCATTTGACAAGTGACATTTGACATTTTGATCACATTATCACAGGGAAGCCACGACAGTCATAAGTATGAAAAACAGTCATAAGTCAGTTTTTTCAGTGCCGTTGTAACTTTGAATGGTCACTAAATGAACAGTTGTAAGTCGAGGACTAACAATTTCAGTTGTAAAAATAACATAACTGACTAGATAGTTTTTAATATTCTGAAATAGCAATGCTACTAAATCCTTAGCTCTAGTGATGATTGTTTAAAAAAAATGTATAGCCTGCATTTGGAAAAAACTGTTTCCTTGCAGAATTTATTTGTGATGAGTATATGTTAGGACAGAGTTGTAACATTTCTTCACAGATCACTAGATACATGGTTATATATTGCACCCGGCCACCTGTAAAATGTTAGTTGCACATTTTTAATATGCAGTAGTATTACTATTCTTTTTGAAATTATCAGAGAACAAGACAAGGAAGGGAGTGGAATGGAATGGAATGGAATGGGATAGGATAGGATAGGGTAGGGTAGGGTAGGGTAGGGTAGGGTAGGGTAGGGTAGGGTAGGGTAGGGTAGGATAGGATAGGATAGGATAGGATAGGATAGGATAGGATAGGATAGAATTCTTTAATGGCCAAGTGTGATTGGACATACAAGAAATTTGTCTCCGGTACATAAACTCACAGTACATATACACAGCAAGTACTAGGTCATAGGTCATAATGTCTATACATATATGTCTATACATGTATGTCATATATGGCTATGTATAGAGAAAATGTTAGTATATTTATAGTATTGCTGATTTTCTGTAGCAGCATGTTTTAAAACCTTTATTATTATGGTATACATAATAATTTGAACAATTTTCCAAAATATATTAAACAATGTTTTTGGCACTAAGGGTATCTGCATTTAATCACGTAGTATAGAAAAGAAATGCAGTCTAGCTCTACTTCTTTTATCCCTTTTATAAATATTATCTTTAACAAATGATAAAGTTGTGCTATAAAAAGACTCAACTGTCATAATATTCCCTGTTTGAATGTCTCATCTATTAATAGTTAAATTCTCTCATACTTTTTTCCCTCTAAATTAGAGCCTATTTGAAACTGAATGTTAGCCCTGACAACAGCCTTTCCTTTCTGTTCTATTGATCCCTTCTCTTATAAATATATGATGATTGTGTGCATATGGGGCATACAATTGTGACAGCAATATTTCTTTGGAAACCTAAATTGAAACCAGTTTCTTTGGAAGCTGTTATTTAGGGGAGTATTGCCTCTAATGCTTGAGGTAATATGTTGTTATTTATTTATTTATTTATTTATTAATTTAATTTGTATACCGCCCTTCTCCCGGAAGGGACTCAGGGCGGTGAACAGCCAAGATTAAAAAACATACAAATGCAAAAGTTAAGATAATTAAAAGAATTAAATCATTGGCTACCCAAATTTAAAACCCCAAATCCATAAAATTTAAAATCCCAATTAAAAACCATTTAGGCTAGGCCGGCTTGATGAAATAAAAACGTCTTCAGGGCTTTACGGAAGGTCCGGAGGTCCGGGATCAATCGTATTCCAGGAGGCAGCTCATTCCACAGGGCGGGTGCCCCCACAGAGAAGGCTCGCCCCCTGGGGGCCGCCAGCCGACATTGCCTGACCGACGGCACCCCGAGGAGGCCCTCTCTGTGAGAGCGTATTGGCCGGTGGGAGGTTATCGGTAGCAGCAGGCGGTCTCGCAAATACCCTGGCCCTAAGCCATGGAGCGCTTTAAAGATGAGAACCAACACCTTAAAGCGCACCCGGAAGACCACCGGGAGCCAATGCAGCTCGCGCAGGAGAGGTGTTACGTGGGAGCGCCACGTCGCTCCCATAATCACCCGCGCAGCTGCATTCTGCACCAGCTGGAGCCTCCGGGTGCTCCTCAGGGGGAGCCCCATGTAGAGAGCGTTACAGTAGTCCAGGCGTGACGTAACCAAGGCATGAGTGACTGTGCACAAGGAGTCCCGATCCAGAAAGGGGCGCAACTGGCGTATCAGGCGAACCTGATAAAAAGCCCCCCTGGCCACGGCCGTCATATGCTCTTCTAAAGACAGCCGTGTGTCCAGGAGGACGCCCAAGTTGCGAACCCCCTCTGTGGGGGTCAGTGACTCGCCCCCAATAGCCAGCGATGGCACCAGCTGGCTATACCGGGACGCCGGCATCCACAGCCACTCGGTCTTGGAAGGGTTGAGCCGAAGCCTGTTCCTCCCCATCCAGACCCGCACGGCCTCCAGACACTGGGACATTATTGTGATTAGTAACTCTTCATAGCTATATTCTCTTTTACAAAGGACAGTTATACTGATAGATTATATGCTGTTAAATTGTTCTGACTTTTAGGAATGAGATAGTTAGTTCATCTCCAAAATGATCTGTCCCCAACCTGTCTCTTCAGAACTTTCAGCAGTGCACTCATTGTCTTTATAACAAAGTTGTACACCATGCTGCTGGTTGTCTTGCTTTCTCTTTCCCTCTACATTTCCCAGTATTATTGATTTCTCAAGGGAGCAAAGTCTTCAGATAATGACTTCAAAATATGGAAATTTCAACCTGGTCATTTTTGCCTTATTTAATAATCTGTTTGTTTTCTTGGTTGTGCATGGTGTTCTCAGGCATCTTCTTCAACACCAATATTCAAAAGCATCAAACACCTTTTCTATACGGTTCATTTAAATTTATATCTACTGTCAAAAATTGAGGGGTTGTTATATTGTTCATTCATAAAATTAAGTCAGTTTGAACTAATGCTGGTGTTACATTTGTGTCTTCCAGTGTTAAAACTAAACAAGCAATATCCCATGTTTTGACTAAAACTAATTACTTTACAGGGTGCTCTCATTGAAGAAAATAAAATAATTTTGTGTTTCAGCATTCTATAAACTAATTTCATAATTAAAGTTGAATAACATCATAGTCTACTATTTTTTTGTGTTTGGCAAAAATAATTTATCTATCTTTGCTGCATCTTATTTTGTATAATATGGAGAAAAAAATTGCTTCCTTTTTAAGCATTTTTATAATTATAGCCTATTTTTCTTTCCTCCAAAGAAGATTTTTTGTCTTAATGAATGAATGCAATTATTTTCAGGACATTGAGCCAATTATAATTGCCTTCACACTTCAGATCATATTTTGTTAAGAAAAGAGAGTTTGAAGACTACAGACAGCTCTATAAAAGGAGAAAGTTTATCTAGTTAGCCCAAAGCATTGATATTTTGGCTCATTGGGTAGTTATCTTTATTGCCTACAGATTCCTTTTGATTTAAGACAGTTGTTCTCCAAGGAGAGATTTAAAATCTTGCCATATTTATAGTGTTCTTATTTGTAAAGTTGGCACTTACTTTATTGTTTCACTGTAGTATTAATTGCCAGACACATTAAAAAAATGTAAATTACAAACTCTTCAGTATAATGGCAGCATATGTAAAGATTTCTCTTGAATCATGTAGCAAATTCTTGTTTTCAAAGGGAAATTCCTTTGTTGCAGATCTCCAGATTGTTGTGACGAGAGAATAGTGTCACTCCAAAAGTTTGCAGCATATAATATATCTCTGAGGGAGGCTTTTTAAATAAATCTTTAGGTTGACAGTTATGATACAACTATATTCTCCTTTCTTCAATTCGTTTTGTTTAATTTTACATCCTTTTTGATTTGTCTAAAAAAAAAACATATTTTCATTTGCTTTAACCAGGTGTGGGTTTTTTTGTACAGACGCTAGCACGGTAGGATTGCAGTTGAAAGTGAATGAACCAGTGAAGCTTGG